AGTGTTCAAATAGAGTAGCGTTCATGTTTTATAAATTAATTCTCACCAAAGCATTTTATCTATATTTTTTATACACCGCAAGGATCAAAATGACTTTTTAGCTCATTCTTTAATTTTTAACCTTTCAGATATTACTAAACAGTAGACTAACAGATTTTGTATAAAAAGGATCGATCGATTCTCTTTTCTACCCACTATATGTTTATATATGTATTTTTTGTTATATTTTGGCGACAAATGCTTTTGCTACTGTCTTTATATATGTATGACCGGTATTTTATTTTGGACATTTTTATACGGATATCCGATATTGGTATATATATATGTTTATCGTATAAACTTTACTATTGTATATTTTCGTATTTTCTACTGATATATGTATTTTATTCATCGAAAACATATTGTAACTACGTTTTAAATATAAAAAAGATTCCTAAATAAGATATATAACCGCCTAGCTTCGATCGTAACGTCAAAACTGGATCTAGAGGTTACAATATATTTTGAGAAAAATAATTTTAAACATATGTTTTGCACTTCCCAATTCAATTAATTTTAAACACAATATAATTTTAAGCAAAGTAAAAAATTAGTTGACCCTTATTCCCATATGTAATAGAATAAGGGGGAGGTAGGATAGTAGGCTGCTCCCAACGCCAGGTTGCGAGCAGCTTCCGTGAGAGACCTCCAAATTATGAAATGCCCTCCGTGGGACTCGATCCCACGACCTCAAAGTTAAGAACCTTACGCTCTACCAACTGACCACAATATAAATTTAGATATTATGACTGAAATAAATTAGATTAGGATAATCACTTCCATAATAACCTAATAATTGACTTATGTACTATTTTTTTGAATTATAAAGAAGACTATTACATAGAAATACTAAGTGCAAATAAAAGCAGGACCATAGGGGTCACGGTGTAGATGAGATATAATCTCTTGGGGGTTCTAGATAGGTTCGTGGTTGTTCATTTGTAACAACGGTAGATTTTGCAAGGAAATCTGCTGCAGATTTAGCTTCACGGTGAATGAGAATGAATTCAATCGTCCACTGTTTTGATATAAGATTTGCAATAGAGTGAACAAGTGCTATGGTGATGCAGTTGGCCGTTGGCGAAGACACGAGATTAAGAGCTTTTGCACAGTCTGTTTGGCATTGGAGACGTTCAATTTTATGGGATAACGCCAATTGAAGTCCTTTAAAAATTCATCAAAGTTCGGCTTGCAGTGGAGTTGAAATTCCAACTGGTCTATTAAATCCAATTATCCAATCACCATTCATATTTCGAATGAGGTCACTCATCGATCCGAGAGATGTAATGTTGTGTACCGCTCCATCCGTATTAAGGGTGTGCCAGTTAGCAGGCGCAGCTTTCCATTGGATTAGTTCTAGACAAACAACAACATAATCGGTTGGGGAAATGGTCTATTATTTATATTAATGATAAAGAAATCACATATCAATATTGTTAAACAATAAATTTGAGATAAATAATCTCTTTATATTTGACATAAACCATAAACTTTTATAAAATTGTTTCGAAATTCAAAAAATAAGAAAAATATTATATATAGATTTTTTAACTTAACTTACACATGGTTAAATCATTGTAACAATATTTTTTAAATTTAATGTTATTTGAAACCATCAAGATTTTGTAAAACAGTCAATATGGTCCCTAATTTTTTTTAAACTCAATGTAATCCTTAAATTGGTTTTTTAATCATTCAATTTTTTAGTATTTTTATATTTAATTTATTGAATATCTTAATCATTGTTAATATTTTATATTTTAACTTAATTTTTTAAATTAACAAGTCCTCAAACTTTCTAAAATAATCAATTAAGTTCATTTACCACATCATCGTCCATCGAGTACTGTCGAAATAGTATCGTGAACTGCCACATTAATATTGTAGATTGCTATGTAAGTTTGTGAACTATCATGTAAGTGTCGTGACAATCAACATTTAATTATGTTGTTCAAAGGGTTAAATTAATTTTTTCCCAATTTTAACGATCACATTTGGTGCAAAAAAAAGTTCATGGACTACACTAATTATTTTTATAAAAAGTTTAAGGTTTCAGTTGCCACTAAACATATTTTTTTTTTAATGACAATTTTTTCTGCTATTACTTATAACAATATTTTATTGTATTTTTAAAATTTAATTAATGTCTAATATGCATTAACATTATAGAGAAGATAACCTCAGTGACCGAAAATGCCTTATAATATACGATTTTAACCAATTTCTTTTGGATTTGCGAAAATAACCAACAAATTTGCAATGCGAACTCCAATTTCGCAACACAGGTTCCAAATTCGCAACGCGATTTTCTAATTCGCGATGCTAATTCGTAATTCGCGACACTAATTCCAAATTCGCGACGCTAATTCCGAATTACAAAATCGTGTTGCGAATCGCGAATTAGGAATTAGCGTTGTTAATTCGGATTTAGCGTCACGGATTAGGAATTAGCGTCGCGAATTAGAAAATCGCGTTGCGAATTAGGAATTAGCGTCGCGAATTCGGAATTAACATCGCGAATTAGAAAATCGCGTTGCGGATTTGGAAAATCGCGTTGCGAATTTTAAAACTGAGTTGCGAATCTGGAAAATTCGCGTTGCGAATTTGGAAACTGTGTTGCGAATTTGAGATCACGTTGCGAATTTGTTGGTTATTTTCGCAAATCCAAAAAAAATGGTTAAAATCGTATATTATAAGGCATTTTCGGTCACTAAGGTTATTTTCTCAACATTATATTCTTATCATAAACTAAAATAAATTATGTGTTATGAATTTTTTTACCAACTTTATTATTTAATATTTGTATAACTCATATGTTAAATTTATGTAATGACTCTTAATAATTATAATCTAATTTAATTATTTAATAACTATTATTTTATTTTTATTTTTATTTTAAAGAATTATATACCAAATATATATTTTTAGTATTTTAGTTTTGAATTCAATTTTTTCATTTATATTAACAAAATAAATTTGTTAAAAATTAAAAATGAAAACTATTTTCTTAAAACAAAAATAAAAAATATTTTCTAAGACCAAACGGACCCTAAATATATGTTAAAAATTATGTTAATCATGTTTAAATGTGAGGAATAATATTTAAGGTCAATTATATTGATCATAGTTAAAATTTTGGGATATTCTTATTTTAGTCATTAAACTTTTAAAACCTATACTACATTCCTTAAACTTATAATTCGCTCTTATTACGTCATCGTCGTTAAGAAAAGTTGACATGATACGTTTACATTTTCTTCCTCTTGAAAACCCTAAGGTTATAGATTGATAATCTCCACAAAGACTAAGTTTTAAATGAACAAAGCGGTTTTGGATCAATCTTAATGGTGAGAAAAATTATTTTCGTCAAAAGATTAACATAATTTTGTTTTAAGTTGATCCGACGGTTGACAATGTCATATCATAAAAAATTTAGTTTACAATTTCGATTGAGATTTAGGGATATTGAAAGGTTTTTTGACGAGTTTGAACCGAAAGGAAATAAAGAGAATAAGAGTAAGAAAAAAAAAATGAGTAGTTCAGTGATATTTTTTCGATCGACGAAACCATGAAAGATAATAAAAATAATTATGATAGAAGAAACAACGATTACCAATTTTTTTAAATGTTTTTTAACATGCTAAGTCAACTGTCGTTAATGGTTTAGCAACTCAGTGGACGAAATGAAAGTTTTTATTAACAACAATAACTCTAATAAAAGTTTTTCGATAATCAGAGTGAGTGCATCATAAAAAAGTCAATGATTATTAATGTAATCTACTCTAATATATATATATATATGAATAGCACGTGGTGATTACAATATAATATATGTTCTGAATCATTCTTAATAATTGACAATACACGTACATCTCGCATATACAACTACTGAATTCGAGATATTTAAAGAGAGTAACACTCTTTTTTTACTATTAAAATCGTTTGACGAGATATCTAAATTTTATATTAAATTATATAATTTTTGGATTTTGGAAAAAGTGAAAATGAACTTCCCCGTTATTCAAACACTTGAATCAAGTTTGATTTTAGAATCAACTTTACCTAAATATCGTTTTGGTCCTAATAAAATTACTCTCATACAATAAAATAAACGAAGACATGATGGATGTATTTTTACTAATTTTTAAATAGATTATTACTTCATTTTTTTTTATCTAAAATTAAGGAATTTATAAATTTCCTAATCGACAAGTCCAGCTATTTCCTTTAACTGAATATATGAAATTAAACATTTGGCAAAAAAGCATTAGAGATCATTGTACTTTTGAAAAAAAACTAATGTTGTCTTGATATTTTTTTCCTCAATGTGGTCATTGAACTCAGAAAATAAACCCGATGTGGCCCTTTGACCAATATTTTTTTCATCGTCGACCATTACTGTGCTGATGTGGCAATTCATGGTATTGTCATGGTAGTCAACGATGCTGATATGATAGTCTAAGGTGATAGATTAACGTGGTGAATACCATGGTAGACTGGCTAAATTGATAACTCAAACATGACAGATGAACCGCCAAGTCAACATTGTGAATTGGCACGTAGTACTGTAACAGTCAACGATGAAAAACGTTAGTCAAAAGATCATATTGGATTTGTTTTTGAGTTGAAGGGCCACTTTAAGAGAAAAAAATATGACAGTCATATTAAATATTTTTAAAAGTACAAGGAGCTATTATGTTTTTTACCTAAACATTTTTATGGTTAAATATGTTTCCACTCAAGAGGAACAAATTAACATCAACCGCAAGCCGTCTCTTGGGAGCCGGCTTAAATGCCTGCTATTACCAAAAGTCCCTGTTTAGTCAAAGTGACGTCTCCCCATCCAAGCACAACGGATTAGGGGCATAATAGTCAGTTGAGTTACCCCAAAATTTCAATTGCCGATCAAAGAACACAGGTGGGCTCTTTTACGAACCTCTATGGCCATGTACGAACTCTCCGCTTTCGATTTCGAGCTTCTCTGATCAAAGTTTACGTAAGCCAAGGTTTCGCATCTTCGTAATTTTAAAGAGTCTCTAAATTATTTGCTGAGCCATCGAATATTCGGTGATTCATTTGAAGGTATATTTTCTTAATCACATTCTATGGTCGCAAGTTCTAGGGTTTTGTTTTTGAAATTTTTTTATTGAAAATTTGAATTTCACTTTATTTTTATAATGTTAATCTTTGGTTAAGTTATCAGCGTTTTCCCGTCAGTTGTGGAGGTTCGACGAATGAAGTATGATTCAGATGTCAAATCGAGTAGTTGATTGAATTTTATTTTTATTTTAGCTTAGATTGGATTTCTACTTTGTAAAATAGAGAATGAAGCTAGGTTTTGTTGATTAGTCGAATAATGAAGCGACAATACTTACTTCCTTTTTCTTTTTTTGCTGTAGCCTTTTGATTTAATTTTAGATTGGATTTAACACTGAAGCAAGGAAAGTGAAGCTGAACGTTGGTATATTTATCCCTTTCATAGCGAAGAAAGGGAGAAACATAAAAGCAATGTTGATTTGGAAATAATAAAAATGGGAATGCTGTTCTTACTGACTGCTATTTACAAGATGTCCATGCCAGCTGAAATCAAAGTAAGTTCCATTATTTAAATAAGTTTTTTTCCACTTATGTCTTAATTGGGAGAAATAGGTATTTAAATTATTGATATAATATATAGAATCTTGTCAGCCGGATCTGTTAGTTAAATAGTGGCAGTGTGCATTGGCTCGAGTGTAATTAATGTGCGGACTAAGTTCTACATTCATTTATTTTTTATTCCTTATTTACTTCAGTAGTTCTAATTTGTCAACAGTAAGGTTATAAAATTTTCTCAAGATCTACTCAGATTCTTCTCTCTGTCTCTGTGTGCGTATATGTATGATTCATGATTCTGATAATGATGTGGTTACATACTCCCCATAAAAGATTTAGCACACAGGCTGTTGAAGGTAACGAATGCCATTTTAGTTCCATGAATGTTGATATTTCTCTACAACCACTAGGGATTACTTCATGATTTAATTTGAATCCGTTTTCTCTAATTGTTTTTTACATGTTCATTATGCTTGCAACAGCATGAATTTTGAGGTAGTATTATGTGGATTTGGAATCTAACATTCATATGCTCATCCTTAGTTTTTTTTTTCCTCCTTTGCAGATAGGTTGTTCTTTGTCATTAAGAGTTTAATTCAGCCTTCATGTACCGTTGCACAACATTTTTGTCATGCACCACTTTATTTATTGGCCTTGTAAGATTGTGGATTACCAAAACCTGATGCAATGGCAACATCTAGCAAGTTTGATATGTCTTCTGGTAGCCCAGATAGGCCACTGTACACTAGTGGGCAGCGTGGAGCCCACTTAGCTGCTCAATTAGACAGATCAGGCAGCTTTCGTGAGACTATGGAGAATCAAATCCAATCTTCTCTGTCAAGAATGTCAAGGAGCACTTCCTTAGTAGCCCAAGGAGACGTATCCAACTTCTTCCAGTGCTTGTGTTTTGATCCCAAGGTGGTTGCTGCTGAACATAAGCCTAGTCGCCAAGGAAACTTTAAGCGGCACATCAAAATTGCTCTTGGCATTTCTCCTGATGATTCTCCAACTCCGTTGTCAAAAGGCAAGCTGTTGCCTTCTCCCATACCGGAGGAAATTAAACGAGTTAAGGCTGGTCTACGTGATTGCACTGTCAAAGCAAGGTAGTTCTTTGTAAACTTTGTTTTTCGAGTTGAAGTTGTCATTAGTAATTAATGTAATTGGTTAACAGGGAGCGCATGAAAACTTTCAACGAAGCCTTATCAGTTTTCTACAAGTTTTTCCCTAACATACCATCTAAGAAAAGATCTCGATCAGAAATCTTTACTAGTGACCGCTCCAATGCCTTGTTATCTAGTGATCGGTCAGTCCTGGGGCCAAGCATTGGTAAGATGGGAATTCATAATCATTCCATTGCTGGAGGTTTTGATTTTGAACGCCAGAAGTCAGAAGAAAGGCCTAAAAGTTCTTTTCCTAATAAACGTACTCGAACTTCTCTGCTGGATGTTAGGGTTTGTATCTTTTATATCTTCCATCTCTATGCATTTTCTGCATTATGATATTATATCTTCTATGGTGCCTGATACAACTTGTTTAGTAAGCTTTTGCAATGGCTGTTTTATGTGCAATATTCAAGTACGACTGGAATCAAAGAGTTCATGTCCCAATGTAATTATTGTTGTTGATGTCTCTTATTTATTTATTCTCTCTAGCTTTATCTTCATTTCTTCTTTTCCATTTGTCAATGAATGAAACCTTACTGCTTTTGATCCAACTAGATGGTCTCATTCGTAGTTTGTTCCCTTTACTCTTCCTTTTGAACATATTTAATTATGTACTTCACTGTGAATTAGTACTTATGTGAGTGATTGGAATTCATTTCCTTTTACATGAACCTACATGATATTCTGTTTTACATGCGCTCTGATTTGAATTTTGTTTTATATTTCATTTGCTTACTCTTATGCATAGTCTTTATATTGTTAGTCTCATTTTGGTTGGCTGATGCCTAATTGGGATGCGTGTGCCACTTTTGCTTCACTATCTCTTGTAGAGAAGATTTAACACATGTTCTAATGAATCTAGATGGATGTGCAGAATAATGCTCTAGTCAGGCAGCCTGGTAATGCAGATAGGGATAGGGAAATGCTCAGGGTTTCAAATAGTGCTGGAGTTCAAGGTGAAGATCGAACTTTGTATGGCGGTGTCGATGGGTGGGAAAAGGCAAAGATGAAGAAAAAGCGGTCTGGGATAAAACCTGATGTGTCTCCAAGTACGGTATCAACTAAACCGATAGAAGGTTACCGGGAGTCTAAACAAGGCATACAGCAAAGGGCTGTCTCTGATACTCGATCAAGGGTAAATAATGACTCCCATGAGTTCAGGTAAGCCTGCTGAAAGTGCTACTATTGTGCATAACTGTGATTGTTTGAATGGTTGCTTAATTACATCTGTTAAAGGGCATGCACATGGGTTCTAGGAGGAGAACCACACTTGAGTATTAGTAATTTTATTATCATTGGAAGCTTCCACCATAAGAATCTTCAGTGTAATTCAGTGACACCCGAACTGGATTGGACTGGTTTGTCAGTTAAATCAGAGTGACTATGTATCAAAAGGGCTTTAGATATTTATTTTATTATTGATTTTTTATGGGTTGTGAAAGTTGAACACTTGACCGCATACCTTTTTCATTGATGGGTAATCCATTGAGTCGAATGTGTTCTGGTTTAGTAAATTATATTTGATTCTATTTAATGTCAAAATCATGCTTCTAACAATAGCTTTAGAGAAGTAAATTGAAAGGCTTGCACCAGTAACACTCCTGTTTATCCTCTGGTCTGATTATGAACATTGATAATGGTATGATCTATATTTCCAGCCTACCCACTGCCAAGAGAATTTTGGGATTAAGGGGCTTCAATTGTAATCATGATGTGGTAGCAGCTTTTCCCAATAATACTGCAGTATTTATTCCTCTTTGTTTTTAACTGCTTTTGTTGTGGAGGATATAATGAATTACAATGTCAAACTTGTATTTTATGCTTCTGAGGTTATTTTCTATTCCAGTTCCTGTTTTTTTTTTCATGGCGAGTATGATATTAATGACAGTGTCGAGGTAACATATGGTTAAACTAACCCTTTCTACACTTCCATAATTTTGCTTTACTAGCCTTTTATAATCCTTTTCTGTATTGTCCTTGGGCATGCCATTCTGCTTGAGATCTAAAATCACCTGAATGAATAATATGGAGCTTTTAGATTAAGGGAAATTGCTTTTGCCTTTGGTGCATAGGACATCTAACAAGTGCCCTAAAGGTGCATTTTTATTTGATATTATTTGTGGGAGAAGTATATGATGGTACATTTACTGATTTTTACTGATTCATATTTTTTAAGTATATAATAAACCAACACTAGGATCTGATCCATCTTGCGTGTATTGTTTGAGAGGCAGAGTGCTTTAGTCATGATCTGACCTAACCTATTGATTAAAGATACAAGTGTGTGCTAATGTAGAATTAACTCTTGCTTGCGTTCGCCTCACACTTTAGATGGATACTTTTTCCTTAATAGATGATTATAATGGTGGCTGTAGGGAATAGGAAAATTGTTTTAGTAATTTAGTCATGATCTGATCTCACATTATGAGTTTCAGTTAAGATCCAAGCACATCATTTTCAGACATTTTAAGAAGGAAATCTTATTGGAGCCTTCTCCTAAGACTTTAGAGGGTTGTGCTTTCCATAACAGAAGATCAAAATGGTGGATGTAGGGAAATTGTGTTAGGGTCTTCTTGAGTGCCTTTTCTTCATATCTTGTACTTGAATTCACTCTGTGAATCAAATCTTTCCTTATATTTATTCATTAAACTTTTGATGTTTCCTATTCTTGATTTTTTATTAATAAACAATTAACCTGTTATAGGTCAGGAATTGCTAATGGATCTGCTGGAGTTGGAAAATCAGAAGGTATATCGCTGCTGACTGGCTTGGGTCCTAGGTCATCTGTCCCTAGGACTGATATGGACAACAGTTCCCTTCGTAATGATAGGAGAGAGCGTCCTGTTCCTTCCGATAAAGAGAGAGTGAATCTAAGAGCTGTTAACAAGTATGCATTGTTTTTTTTTTGTATAAATTTTACTGACCCAGTCCTATTTTAAAAGCCTTGTTTTCTGTCCTTTGGGGTGTCTCCTTCTGTGCTTTGCCTTTTAGGGTTTTACTGCAGTAGGTGTACTTATTTGCATGCCTTTTGTTCTCTACAATATGCAGGATGAGTGCTCGTGATGAGTTTAATTCAGCAAGTCCTACTTCAAACACAAAAATGAATGCTTCTATCCGTGCTCCACGATCGGGTTCTGGAGGTGGTCCAAAGTTGTCACCAGTTGTTCATAGAACAGCAACATCAGATGACTGGGAGATATCTCATTGTACAAATAAACCACCTACTGCAGGTGGAGTGAATAATCACAAACGCACGATGTCAACTCAGTCTTCATCGCCACCTGTTGCCAATTGGGCCGGTCAGAGACCACAAAAGAGCTCTCGAACTGCAAGAACAAATCTTGTTCCTATTCTTTCAAATAATGATGAACTTCCATTGCTGGATACTGATATGGCTGGAAATGAAATTGGGTCAGGATTTCCTAGACGCTTGTCAAGCGGTTCTCCCCAACAAGTTAAACTAAAAGGTGATTCTTTATCTTCAGCTGCTCTTTCTGAAAGTGAGAAGTCTGGGACTGCTGAAATTAAATCTAAAGGTAGGGTGACTAAGTCTGATGAAATAGAAGAGAAAGCTGGACAGAATGTTCAAAAAGCATCGACTTTGATCCTGCCATCAAGAAAAAATAAGCTGATGAATGGAGAAGACATTGGAGATGGTGTACGACGCCAAGGGAGGACTGGGCGGGCTGTTACTTCTGGAAGATCCGTTATGCCAGTGACAGTTGAGAAGTATGGCAATGTTGGAACAGCAAAACAGCTCAGAAGTGCCAGGCTTGCCTTGAATAAGTCCGAGAGGTTAAATTTTTCTTTCTACCTGACCACCTGTTACCTTTTTCTCCAATAATGTTCTTTTATTGTGGTCTTGAACCACCATTCTTTCTGATTGAAATCTCATAATTTGATTAACATTTTGCTCAGCAAGGGTGGTCGTCCCCCAACAAGGAAGCTCACTGACCGCAAGGCTTATGCTCGCCAGAAGCATGCAGCAATCAATGCAGCTGCAGATCTTCTTGGTAATTATACTTCAAGCTAATGAAGAAATTTCCTTGGACTTTTGAATAACAATACTTGACAAAATTTCTAAAGCTTTGATTACATGGTATTGGCTTCTAATACATTTTGTTCACTTATTTAGTTGCTTCGGAGGATGGACATGAAGAGTTGGTGGCTGCTGTAAACGCTCTTATTACTTCTGGTAGTGTCTCGTGATTAGTTTTTATCTTTTTTGTTGGGGGGTTCAAAATTTTTTTATTTTGTTTGGTTCAACATTTACTTTTTTGCACTGGTTGATTTACTATCATTGCAGCTCATGCCTTCCCCAACACATTTTGGAGGCAGATGGAGCCTTTTCTGGGTTTCATATCTAATGTAAATATTGCCTATTTAAAGCAGCAGGTATTCTTCTTGTCCCACCAATTAAGATTGATGGTTACTGTTATTATAAGATCTTAGAAAGCATATTTTTATTTAAAATTTGTCTCTTCAAAACCCCGTAGTGTATTCCCTTTTCAGGGGAAAAAAGATTATTTGAATATTTTTTTTACTGATATGCTTTAATTACGAATTATTGGTTGCAATGTGTTCCTTTTTGGCCAGTATGGGCTGATTTTTTTTTCAACAAGGTAGGGCAAAAAGTAGAATTAAACTTATACTTTTACTCTCCATTGTCTCTTGAACAAGCATGGGTTGTTCTTTTCATCAAATATAGAAGAAAAGGGCACAAGATAAATGAAGAAATTCTTGTAGACTTGCTGATAGTAGTGATGGTTGTCAAACCATGTGACTAGTTTTCTGGAATTCAATTTATTTGATTTTGGAATGAGTAGTATGTAATCCCATGGAACCATGTCAGATTTATATGTTTAACAATGAAAAGTTAGGAGTTGTCTTCACCCACATTTCTTTGTAACACTGCAACACCTTTGTAAAAAATTCAAAAAAGATAAAACAGAGTGCCTACACCTCTTTTGGATGCACTACTTTCATTGAAAAAGGTAAAAGTAGCTTAGTGCGTTTGTACTTCCGATGCTGTTTCCCATTGAATTTCATAATGTGCTTTTGGTTTCAGTGTGATTGAAGGTTGAGACTCAATAACTCATCTTTTTCAAATGTATATTAGCCCCTCTAATCTGTTTCCATATCTTTCAGGGAAATTATGAATCCATCAAATTGGGATCAACACCAGTTCCTTTTATTACAGATGGTTGTCGTACCATATTCAATGGGTGTGGATTGCTTGAACATGAAAGAGATGGCGGCATTGGTGCTGTAGCATCAATTGATGAAATTCATTCACAACAGTTGCTCCCGGATACAAGGGACAATGATGTGATTCCCCTTTGTCAAAGATTTTTAGCAGCTCTAATCCCAGAAGAAGCTATTGATAGCGGAAATGAAGACCCTCCATTTGATGTTTATGGAACTGGATTTGAGATGGATGGAGAATTGGGGTCCAATGGTTTGAGTCATATTATTAACTTCCAATTGACTGGTGGGCATGCTTCATTTGATGATTATAGGATAACTGGAAAGCCAGAACATTATGATCCTGAAATTGATATGCCGGGGAACACAGGAATTAATAACTCAATTTCAGAATTTGAGTATGGGATTATGAAGATAAATGAGAAACTCATTTTAGAGGCGCAAAGTATTGGAATTTTCTTAGAACCACCGGTTGGTGCACTTCTACATGAATATTTATATTAAATGCTGCATTGTTTGTCTTGTCTCAAAATATTATGAAATATTCAGTCGACAGCTCTCTACCTTTCTCTATGTTGTTTCAAAATCAATAATTATTGTGATCTACCAGTCTTATTTGCGCTTGTATGTTATCTGAATGGTTCATGGATGTCCATTCTTATTATCTTGTAGGGCAATTTTCTTTTTCTCCTTTTCTTACACTTCTGCGGTTTGTTTTAGTTTGTGTCTGCCTAGTTTCTTCTTTTTTGCCTTGACATTAAGGTTGTTAATGTGTTTAACTTTATATGTTTCCACTGTTTTTCAGCCTGACATAGCACAGACGTGGGATGTTGAGATCCTTGCGGACATTAGTAAGCTAGAGGAAGAGCACAAGGAACAGGTACTTTCTTGATGGAATTATTGAATCTCTGATACATTATCTATATTTCTTTTTCTTTTCTCCTTACATTAATGTTTCCACCCAAAGTTTCATGATAACTGTCGTTAGATATTTGATAACTTCTATCTTTCTTCTTACCCGTGATATCTACTTATTGTTGGAGTTTCCATCTTAAAGTTCAAAGCTTGTTCTGTGAAGTTCAATTTTGTAGAATATTAGGAAGAGAATAGTTTCTTATATTTTATTCATCAACATTATGTGTATATATACAAGTATAAAGGTCCTATAAAATGTAATGTGATATCCTACATTAACTATGTAATATCATGCATTAAATACAATATATACCAACCCTAATATTTATCCCATAATTCTGTAACAAATTTGTTATCTTGTGAATGCAATAGGCTTCAAAGAAGAAAGGTTTGGTTGATAAACTATTGAAAGCTGCCTCAGAAACAAGAACAGTTCAGGAGGAGTACTGTTTTACCCTTTCTCTTCGTGTAGTTTTGTATGCATTTCTGTTTAACTTAAAAGTCTTTGGTACCTCGTGTACTTGTAAACATATTTTTTTATATAGGGAATTCAAACAACGTGCTCTTGAAAAACTTGTCACAATGGCGTATGAAAAGTACATGGTAATTCTCTTAATGCTCATTCTCCTTTTTGTTTTGGTTTTCATTTGCACACACCCGTTAAATTCTTGGATGCTTAGAACCTAGTCTGTTTTGACAAATAATTTAGGAAAGCCCTTACTGTGTAAACTAAGCTATGGTCTAGAGGGAAGTCAAGAGGATTTCAAAGAATTAATTGACTGTGTGGACTAAAAGTAGCATAAAAATAAAAATACACAGATTTAAATGGACAGGGTGGCAATATTTTAACTTAACTAACTGGTCCAAATATAAAAGAAAGTGCCCAACTTGGTGAAAATCTTCAATGTCGTAGGAGAGAACTATCTCCTTTTGGGTAGTTCATATTCCTTGCTCACCAAGGTCCAAGTGAATAATGCTTCTTCCGTTCTCCTTGATCTTATATCCGGAATCTGTTTCAACCATGACCAGAACGTGGTTATATGTTGCCTGATTGGATTCAGGAGACCTTGTTCTTTCCCTTCCCGGTACATATGCTTAGGTGTTCTCTTTGATGTTTGCAAGAATTAGTTATTTGTCACCTTGTGAGTCTCTGGGTTTTAGATAGTGGAAAGTTTTTTAAAGCCTCCTTTTATCTAACAACTCTTACATTCTTTTTACATTTTTTCCTCTCTATTTAGCTGCATTAATGACAAATGACTTAAGGTGGATATAACAGGGTACTTTTCTTTTTGTTGCAAATGTTATATTGTCTATAAATTAGAGTTTGCTTCCCTAGTTTTTCTCCTGAACTTTGCTTAAAGGTGGATAAATCTGCTTGTTCCCTCTGTGTGTTACGGCGTTTCATTTACCATTGAGAATTTTTAATCATCGAAAAGTTGAACATATTATGATATGATACTGGAATTGTATTTTGATGATCTATTAATAATCTTTTAATAGAGTTGTTGGGGCCCTAGTGCAACTGGTGGAAAGAGTTCCAGCAACAAAATGATCAAGCAATCTGCCTTAGCATTTGTTAAACGGACATTAGCTCGATATCAAAAATTTGAAGATACAGGAACAAGCTGCTTTGATGAGCCCATGCTTAGAGACATGTTTCTTTCTGGGTCTTCCCGGCTAAATTGTGAACAGGCAATAGATACGCCTACAGATAGTGAATCTGGAAAGCCAAGCGCCAGAAATTCCACCCGCTCTCTGGAAGCTCGAACCTCAGGTATGCCTATGATGCCTACACACTTTAAAATTCCCATGCTAGTTTTGTCCGTACATGTGTGTTTGATCCCATGTAATGTAATCATCTGCAAACCGTTCTTGATGGTACTTTTTTGCATTCTGTTGAATTGTCTTCTCCCTTTCCACCTTTTTTTGGATATTATGGTGCAATTTAGCTGTGGATTGTCACTTCTGGCAGGTCAAAATGGGGATAGCTATGCTGTTAATTCGTCTGATCTGCATACACCCACAAATCGGTCTTCCGATCAAACTACTGTTAAAGATGATTCGTGGTCTAACAGGGTGAAAAGGAAAGAATTATTGCTGGAGGATGTGGTTGGTGGTACTTCTAATGCCCAGCCAGGCATTGGAAGTTCTTTGTTGAATAGTACAAAAGGAAAGAGGAGCGAGAGAGACAGAGAAGGAAACGGACATGGTAGAGAGGCTTTATCTAGAAATGGAACTAATAAGATTGGTCGACCTGTATCCAATGTTAAGGGGGAAAGGAAATCGAAAACAAAGCCTAAGCAGAAAACAACTCAGCTCTCTGTTTCTGTAAATGGCCTTCTTGGCAAGATGTCAGAGCAACCCAAAACATCAACTTCTCTATCGAAATCGAGTGAGATAACCGCCAATAATAATGCCAAAGATAAAGATGAGTTCGGCCTGGACGTATTGGATGACATACAACTACCAGGACAAGATTTGGGTTCATGGTTGAACATTGATGATGATGGTTTTCAAGATCATGACTTCATGGGCCTTGAAATCCCCATGGATGATCTTTCCGACTTGAATATGATGGTTTGAGTTGTTTTCTTTGTGTAGTCTTGTTCATTATACTGTTTTAAAACCAAAAGTATAATCACTGTCATCAAGAAATGACGTTACATGAATGATCGTTTGGCTGTCCCGTCCACAATTAGGTTACAATAGATTCTTTGTAGACTCATCCACAAGTTGACTTTCGCGTTGAACCATTTGGACGTCTTGAAATTTTTCTCTCAAGTTGGCGACATTGGCTGTAAAGATCCTTTTTGTTCCTACAAGCTTGTATCTCGTAGCAATTATCTTAGCAAACACTGTACCCTGGCTGTAGCGTTTACAGATCTGAGAGCAATGTACATACATTTATATTCTAAATAAAATTAGTTTTTTTCGGTGTATTTATATATATTTGTAAAAATAATTGTATAGGGTTGTCTCCTGATTTCCTGGTTCATGTATCTTTATTTTCACTCTTACGGCAGCAGCTGCAGTTGCAATTTGTTATTACAGACATGGTAATTTCCCCTCAGGTTTTTTCATGAAGATGTTTCTTCCAAGTCTAAGAGGTAAGAGTGTTCAATGAAGATGTTGATACAATAATTGGCCATGTTTTTTCAGTTATTTTGGTCTGAGCAGGTACTTTTAGCTCCGGATGTATACCTTAATTTGCAGGTTCTCACTTCAATAATCTCACGAACCACGAGTAGAAGATGGTTGCGGGTAAACTTGCTCTCTTGGATTTTCTGATCAAGATATGTATCCCTGGGATCCAGTGGCATGTAATCTGCTTCGTTCTGATAAACCTACATTACTACCGAGGTAAAACCGAAATACCTTGTTCTAGTCTTGTTTATAGAATTCCGTCGTTTACTGTTATTTTCCTAGAGAATATGTCAGCACTTTATTTTGAGGGCAAGGCATCACTTGTAATACAGTGTAGAAGGCTCCCGGCAGGCTCGTGTTCTGTAATATGCATCCACTGCATTTTAAAGCTTACATTTATTAATAGCGTTAATGATTCTCAACCTGCTTTATATGAAAGATTTAATGTATCGGATGGGGCCATTGAGAGTCTTGTCTTGTTCGTTTCGAGAATTAATTTTCTGTATAATTTCTTCCCTAGAGAGGCTCGAGTACATGTGACATTAATTAAAGAATACTTTAGATACTTAGATGAGAGAAATTGAATAATCTAGATACCTATTTTGACCAAAAAATACTTTAGTTACCTATTTTGACCAAAAAGATAAGTTTAGATACTTATTTCGACCAAATAACATTTTAGGTACTTAAATGAAAAAATGATATACTTTAGGTACTTATTTGTGATATAAACCATTTCAAAACCATATCTAAAGTTATGTTTTTGTTTCATTTTAGTACTCATTCAAAATTTAATGTTAAATTTTAAAAATTTCGAATGTTTAGATATTAAAGCGGACCAAAACTTATAGTTTAATTGTACTACTTTTATTTGACTTGCAAATAATAGGATACAAATAAACAAACAAGCATACTTGCAAACGTTAATTTAACCGAACAAGAACACATTGAAAGCCAAACAAATAAACACGAACATATTATTATTAAAAATTTAAATGAATATGAACCGAACAAAAATACATTGAAAAACAAACAAACAAACACGAAAATAAACTTTTTCGTTCAAACCAGTTTCATTTACACTCTACTTATTTCTAATGATTTTTGTCTAATATTACTGATTGGTAAAGTTCTTCCTAACTACTAATCCATCTTTATGAGATTCATATTATACTCGAGATATCTCATTTTTCTCGATATTATCATTTGTATCCAATCTATTGATTGACTAGTTCATATATTGTTTCTAATTATTGTTATTCCTTGAGGTCCCGTTCAAAATTTAACGTTAAATTTAGATTTTTTTTTTAAAGTTTAGGTACTAAAACGGACCAAAAGTAATAGTTAGATACTACACGTAATAAATTTTTAATGAGGGTACTAAAATGAAATGAAAATAAAATTTTACATATGATTTTGGAAAAAATGAAAATTTAAGTACTAAAATTGATAATTTGTGTACTAAATACGTACTAAAACTGATAATTTAAGTACTAAAATTGATAGTTTAGTTACTATATACAAAAATGATTTTGCATAACATGTTTTATTACAAAACATGTATGTCACTGGTCAATCATTTTAATTTTACTATTTTTAATATATTTTTATGAGTTAATAGCGTTATACGTTCCTGGATATTTATTTTCATTTTAAATCGATCCTCAAACTTTTAAACATTCTGAATTCATCCCTAGACTATCACATTCCTTTTAAAGGTCCCCAAACTTACTTTTGAAGTATCTAATAACATCCCAAAATCATTCAAAATTCGACACCCGATGAAAATTTGCATGATCGCCGGAAGATAAGGGAAGTCATCCGAAGATTTGTTCGTCGAAATCGCCGCTTCACAAGGACAATCCATCACTTCCTCAAGTACGACTCCGTTCCGACGCGAGACAAAGTTCTCGGCTTCGGCCCCGTTTATATCTAAATTATATGCTTTGGCCAATCTTGAAAGTGATTGAAATAGATAAGATAAGCTAACTTGGTGAAGTTACTACCAGAACTATTAGGATTGTAATAAGATGTTCAGTTTCCCTTTACTGAAGCAAATCTACAATTTAGTTTGTTGAGGGAAGGGACAAGACAACCTTAGGCCACTGTCTGTTAGGTATTCGACAACCTAGGATTTCGAAAGAAACACCGAACTGTACCGACTATGCCTGCATCTTTCGACTAACCGGAAAATTCAACTTCAGTGGGGGTAAAAAGGAGAGAAGAGAGTGAAACCTCTAGCTTTCCAGTAAGGTTTTTGCACAGTAAGTCCCCAACAGAAACCACATGAGGAGGAGGAGAGAAAACGAGAAGAGTCCGGCCATGAACGGCCACCCGACCAGTACTAACCCAAGGCAGAGCACTACTGTGAAAGGGAGGAATGATCTTACTATCGACATTGTATCGACCCACTGCCCCTTGAGCATCAACAGTACAGCCACGCTTATCATGTTCCAATTCATTGATCCGTCGTAGCAGAGCCGGTTGAGACAATTGGCAACGAACGAGTAAGAGTTGCACGTGAAGAGGTTGTAGCTCTTGTGCTCAAAGTAACGCACGCTCGACTGCAAGGCATCATCCCATGTGAGTGCAGTCCCATACTCTGTGTGCTGGTACCCATGCTTGCATGTGTGCCCGGCCAGGTTCGGGGGAAAGCAGCACTAGTTCCACAATAAAACTGGTTAATGAAACATCCCCTAGTTCCGACCCGAAAATATATATCAACCGCCGAATCCGATCCGACTCGAAAAATTTATATCCTTCGTCCGAACCCGACCTGACCCGAAAATATATATCCTCCACCCAACTCCGATCTGACCCGAACTTTTAGAGTATAAATCTGAACCGTCCCGATGTAAAGTGAGGATTTAATTAAATAATAATAATTTTTAAGAAAATTACACTATTATCCTCTGGTTGAGCCGGGTATGAATTTTTTCACCCCACCTCGTCCTTTAAAAAATCCGACCCTCCCAAATTTAAAAAAATATCCGACCTTATCCAGTCAGATCGAAACCCGTTGTATTCAGGTTAAATCATCATCCCTAGTTTTGCCTGTATAGGATGATTGACTATTGTCTTAGATGAACTTTGTTTCAAATTTATGAAATTTTGAAGCTTTGGTCTCTCTTTACCATTTCAGTAGATGATTCGGAGACTGCCTGTTTACCCTCCATTTTGCATTGGAGGTCGTGTCCTGGTCTATCTATAATAACTTTTATATATTATAATAAATCAACTAATAAGAAAAAGAGAGATGGCTCACGTGCGGTAACTTTAGTAATCGGTAAAAAAAATACATTGTCGATTTTTGTTATTATTTAAATAATAAAATTGATAAAAAATAATCGAAAATATTTTTATTTCTATTGATTTTGTTATTATTAGGTGTTTTACCCGTACTGATAAAGTGTTATCGGTTTTATTATTTTTTCTACCGATTTTATTATTATTAGACATTTTTATCGAAAATGTTAAAAAATTGATATTTTAAGTAAAAATAATAATATTTTAAGAAATTTTTTTACCAATTTTATTATTTAAATAATAATAAAATCGATAATACTTTATTTTAGTAATATATTAAAGTGTCGTAGAATTTCCTTAGAAAAAGAATTCATAAAAACCATTAAAACGTAAACGTATACGTGGCGGAAAAAGTGGGTAGCAAATAAATCAATAACGACGGATAATCCTAAAAAAAGGTCCCAAATAGTAAATGAAAAGGGAGGCAGGGTAAGGTGTCGGTTCATGAATGCATTATCAATAACCTAACCAAAAAAAATCTACTTTTGATGTACATTCATCTCCCCAACCATTTTCTCTTTCTACAAATAAAATACTAATATTTTCTTCTTTTTTTCTAAAGATTTATATAAAATAATATTTTATTTTATCTTATTTTCATTTTCATTTTTTATTAAACTAAAATGATAATAAAGTAATATCTGTTTTAAATACTCTTAATTATTTGACAACGAACACTCAATCACTCTGTTATAATTATTGATGTTCGAACATATTACCTTTAGAAACAACAATGATTTGAATTCAAATGAACAACCTTTGATTTTAAAGGTGTGGGTAACCAATGAATAATTTATGTAGAATTAGTTGGTTTAATGAGATAAATGGTTAGATTACTTAAATAGTATTGAAGTTTTAAATCATGGCCTTATAAATAAAGTAAATTAGTTTTGAAGTTTAGAGTTTAATAGGATAGGTAAGATCTTAGGGCTGTGCAAGAGACGTCAAAAATATTTTAAGTTTAAATCGAGTTGTAAAATACAATTTGAATAATTTACTTTTTTTTAATATTTAGTGGATTGATTTTTAAGTTTGAGTCGAGTCCCTCGACTCTGTATGATATGTATATAATACATATAGAAAAAATATGAATAAACATATATGTATTGTATATGATTATGAAAATTTATTTAAATTAGAATCAAATAATATTTTAATATTATAAATGCTTAAGGACATTTGCCCATACCGTAGATCTAATTTATCATTTTCGCTCCTATCATATTTTCGCATCAATTTAACACTAAAAGTTATTTAATTACATCATTCTATGGTGTACCCTTAACTTAAAATCCTAAATCATAAATTCTAAATTAAGGTTTAGGGTTTAAGTTAAGAGGTTATAGGATTATGGTTTAGGATTTAGGGTTTATAATTTAAGATTTTAAGTTAGGGATATGGTATATAATGATACAATTGAATAACTTCGATGTTAAATTGATGAGAAAATATGATATGGGCGAAAATTTGACTCGACTTGAGAAAATTTTAAGTCAACTTCGAGTTGTAAAATATGACTCGTCAACTCGAATGTTTCAAAAAATTTTTTAACTCGACTAGATCAAACTCTCACTCCTAATATAAGTTGGTTTAATGAAATATTTTTTATACTGTCTAATTTGAATTATCAAACAATAAATAAGATAATGATATTTATATTAAAATTTAAATATCTTATATGATAAAATAATATTCTGAATTGTAAACAAAACATAAACTTTACACGTCACTCCCTCTCTCTCCCTTTGTCTTTGGTGTTTGGTCACCAACCTGATTTTCCATATCTATTTACGTGGCAAGCCCTGCATTGGACTTATTCACTTTCAGTCTTTCACATGTATGCTTTATACTTATTTAATTGCTACCAGACAATGGCATGACGCTCTTATTTAATAATGGTTCATCTGGGTCCCTAAACTGTGCTAAATTTCAAATACGTTCCAATTACATCCCATCTTTTAACTAAATTAGGTCCTTTCACTTGTCTAACAATAAGGTTTAATGGTAATTGTTACTTTCGATTTAACAACAATATTCAATCAAGTTGGAGATCGAGCTCCGAGCATCAAGTTTCAAATAGAGTTCAGGCCTCTCATGGTTCAAGCTCGGTTTGGGTTGATTAGAGTCTTAAGGTGAAATAAAAAAAGGACTTGATTGGAAATCACTTTAGTATGAAGATTCAGGTGTAATATTTTAAAGGGAAAATTATGCGTTTAGTACCTAAACTATATGTTTTAATATATTTTAATACATAAACTTTCATTTTTTTTAAAATCATACTTGAAGTTTAGTTTTTGTTTCATTTTAGAACAATGCCGTTAAAAAACTTAACGGACAGGTTGATGTGGCATAGCTCCAGTGGACAGACGACCAATTCGAACGGTGGGCCATGAGAGAATGACGAGTTGACCACATAGTCCAATTTCAGTCCCATCGGACGGTGAATCACGGAGATCGAAAGATGTAGAAATCAAAGAGTTTATCGTCGATTTGGGGATATCGAGGTGTTTTCCAGTGAAACAGAGGTCAGAATCGTGTTCAGGGGGTCGAAAAGATACGAGCTAAAATTAGATATAGTTTTGGAAAAAAAAATTAGGTACTAAAACAAACAAAAATGATAGTTTAACTATTAAACGTGTAATTTAGCCTATTTTAAAATATTAGGATCAATGTAATTTTAATCATAATTAAAGGACATATGATATAATTAACCCTTAACTAATTCTTTGGGTTAGTTTAGTTTCTTTAACATTTTCTAATATTCCTTAGTCGGGTAATAAGGACAGGTGTGCTCTTTTATTTCGCTCTTTCTATTTTCTGGTATCATAGGGTAATAAGGATATATGATTTAATAAAATTATTTTATATTATCAAATTTTAATATAATAAAATATTTTATTATATCAATTTGTATTTCTAATTAATTTTTCGAATCAAATTTAATAAGGATAAATATGAATAGAATCCGATGGCTTGTTCTTATAATATAAACTTGAATTTGAATCGGTCAAAAATTTACCCGACCCATTATCATCTTAATTATTTTTCACTTTTCTTCATTATTTTGACTTGAATTTCTGATATATTTCAGTGTTTCAATTTATCAAGGAACTCCTCCCATAGACGTTCTACGTGTTCTTACAAGGAAAGAGTTCTATATAGCTTGAATTTATTATACAACTCGGTTTCTTCGATTGTCCGCTTACTCATTCGATGAGGCCGACATGAATTGCCTTGGATCCAGGTAACCGGACTTCGGGTTCGTGTTTTCTTTTTCGGTTTGCACTCAATATTCATCGTGATCACATGCGATTTTAGTTCAATTTCGATAACGTTATTCGATTTCCATCATCATGTGTTTCCCGTTGCACTCGGATTCGAAAATGGTTGATTGGTTGGTTTAAAAGGGGGAAAATTAAGGTTTTCCTCTTTTTCTGTTCTTCTGCCATGTGTTTGATGAAATGAAGAGTCCAGATATGTGAAAGGTGTATGCATGTAGGCTCTAGATACATCCACCTGTATGTTCTTTGATTGCTCATGCTTCACTTTCATCTTCCCCTGGCCTTATATCATTACCCGTTTTCCCATTTTTCGATACTTTTCCGGGTTGCATTCGATCGAATACAAAGGAGAAAGTAGTTTCGAGGAGTAGATAGAATTGCATTGATTTGTTTAGAGTGTTCAAAAGTACTTTGAGCCCACTCGTTGCAGGTGAAAAGAGGATCATGGAGGAGGTATCTGCAGCAATTTCCGGTCCCTGTGCCGTTCCGTTAGGCGAAGCGATCCGTAACGATCCGATAACGATGATGCACGCCGGCGTCAATGGCTGTAAGCTTGTTGCGGAGAAGGCAAGCTCGTTGTCTCCCTCTGAAAACGAGTTGGATCGAGCTTGTGAGTTTGTATGTGAAGGTGACAGAGGAGGTAACGGAATCGTATCGTGGGACCGAATCGAGTCCGATGATAGTTGTATTTCGAGAGAACACAATCATCGAGGAATCGAGGAAGATCGATCCTTGTTGTCATTCGATGGTAATCATGAAAACTCATCGTCCCAATCTGTAGTAGCTTGTGATATCAGTAGCATCTGTGTTGAGGAAAGTTCAGCTTTAGAGGTTAATTCAGAGAGAATTTCATCAATTAGTGATGTTCAAGATGTGAAGAGAGTTGCAGCCGGTTTCGCGGGGGATGACGGCAATAAGTCCGACAAAAAATCGTCGGTTCTCGAGGTGCCGCAACAAAAGAAGATACGAAAAACCGAAATCAAGCATCGGTTTGAATTAGGAAACATGCCCCTTTGGGGATTTACATCCATTTGTGGTAGGAGACCGGAAATGGAAGACGCTGTTGTCACTATACCACGATTTTCGCAAGTTCCTAGTCGAATGCTGAAAGTCGAGAACATCGAAAATGGAACGAATCATGGCGTAAGCGATCTAACGGCTCATTTCTTCGGTGTGTACGATGGACATGGAGGGTGTGAGGTAAGCGTCATTGCCTTCTATTCTTATTGATCTTTGTTTCTATATACATTATCGATATATGCTGCAATATGTCGGAAATACGACTCTGATGGTTATGTCGGTACTACTGTCTGTTTTCCGAAGCCGGTTTATCTGATCGTGATAATTTTGATGCACAGGTTGCAAACTATTGCCGTGAACGTATGCATTTAGCTATAGCTGAGGAGATAGAAACAGCGATATCGTGTATTCGAGAGGGAACTGTCGAGCACGACTGGCAGGAACAATGGAAGAAAGCATTCTCCAATAGTTTCATTAAAGTCGATGCTGAGATCGGAGGAGTTCGTAAAGGTGCAAACAATACCGATAACGAGCCTATTGCCCCCGAAACCGTTGGCTCTACTGCCGTTGTTGCGGTTGTTAGTCCAACACATATAATCGTCGCCAATTGTGGCGATTCGAGGGCAGTTCTCTACCGTGGAAAACATCCCATGCCCTTGTCCGTGGACCACAAAGTAAGACCGTGCCTATTTCGGATTTTCATTCCACTTGGACATACAAATTTCAAAGACATTGTTGTTTATATTGAGCCTTTTACAGCCTGATAGGGAAGACGAGCATGCTCGGATCGAAGCTGCAGGAGGGAAGGTCATACAATGGAACGGATCCCGTGTTTCCGGTGTTCTAGCGATGTCGAGGTCCATCGGTGACAGATACTTGAAACCATGGATAATTCCGGATCCGGAAGTGACGTTCTTTCCTCGAGCAAAAGAAGACGAGTGTCTAGTCCTAGCGAGTGATGGCTTATGGGACGTCATAAGCAATAAGGAAGCTTGCGAAGTTGCTCGAAAACGGATCCTCCTCTGGCACAAGAAGCATGGTGATAAATTATCGGCAGAGAGGGGCGACGGGGTCGACCCGGCCGCTCAATCGGCATCGGATTACCTCTCGAAGATTGCTCTTAGTAAAGGGAGCAGAGACAATATCACAGTCATTGTCTTGGACCTAAAAGCTAAAAGAAAATTCAAGAAGAAAACTTGATAACAAGGCTTCTTTGTACAATATACTCGATTAACTTGTTAGTGAACCGAGCCGGGTATCGGTTTTCGGAACTGGTTCACAACCGGTTCGGTCAACTTGTCATGAATTCGAATAGAAAGGAATATAAGAAACACTAAACTCAACAAAAGATCCATTCGAATTTAATTTCAGTTCTCTATTATTATTTTTTTAATAGTTTGACGTGATTACAAAAATAGTAATATTAACACGTAGCAAGTAGTATATGTTCTCATTATAGTTACTTTATCTAAGAGATTATGACATACGTACATATATATATATATATATATATACACAAATACATACATACACGTATATGTTCTCATTATTTCTGGTATGCATATTCTAAATGTGAACAACGTTGTGAGTATTCGGACAGCAACTGTGGCACACCTGATATTATCGGCCCGTATGTCTGCAGAACAATTATAACACGTCAAAATCTGGATGGTATTCGAGTTAAATTCGACATTTCAACCAAGCTTTATAAGTTAATTCGGTCGAATAGAATTTCTCTAAACCCGGGTCGAGTTGAAATATTATATTCGGATCGAATTCGGATAAACTAAAAACTCGACCAGACTCCACCATGATCATCCCTAATTGCAGCAAATGTTTGACTCAATGACCAGTGTTCAACTTTTCTAACCTTTTGATTTTCGTGAACCTCGGACAGTGGAACCGCAAGCAGCTTCAAATTTTCCGGCACGATGAATTCCCGACTCTCCGGCAACCGAACAAGGAAGAGCTTGGTGCATTCCTGCAGGAATTAGAATCAACATAAACATTGTAGCCGGAGCTGTATTAATGTGGCAAATAGGCAAATTACCTTGGGCTTTGTTACACTGGCCGGCAAGTATGGACACAACATTGTTTAGAAATCGTGCCTCCACCACATGCCGAGACACTCTCTGACCTAAATATATTCAAACGACGTCACGTGTTACAATCTGATTTAATGCGTTAACTTTATATAAAATGTCGATATAAATAAAAATACCTCCCATTCCTTTTCATCACCATCTTCGCTCGTCGAAAGCTTCCTCGAAACCTTACGTCTCAATCCATCGATATCTAAAAATTCAATTTCATCTTAAACTAAGATAACTATAAGTAAAAGATCGTAATGTAAAAGAACAAAAATTTACGTGAAAAATCTTAAACTGAAAATTACATGAGAGTATATCAACAATCAAAGCTTAATTGAATTAAAATAAAATCGAATTATAATTTCTCATATTCATCTTTTCAGCCCAAAAAATGATCAATTTACCTGATTCACCTGACCTCAAACGACCACCAGGAAGGTTAAAGATGGAATTTTCAGCTTGGAGCAGCAGCAAATGGGGATGTTTCAACAACTCAACCTGAGTAAACGACATTGCTTTAACCTCTTGTTATGGGCGTGGCTGCAAGGTGGGCGACCGCGCATGGCTCCAAAAAATAGGTGTTCCGAAATTGAGTATATCTATTAGTTGTTGCCATTAATAAGCATATAAATAAGAGCCCCAAAATCGAGTATATCTATCAGTTGTTGCCATTAAGAAGCATAAAAATAGGGGAAATCGAGTATATCTATCAGTTGTTGCCATTAATAAGCATAAAAATAGAGGCTTCGAAATCGAATATATCTAGAAAATAGGGGCCCCTTTATAAGAATTTGCACAGCGCCCCTACGACCCTGCCACTTGTAATAAAAGTCCGACTCAAACTCGAAATTCTATTTTAATTGATCTAAATTTGAATTTAATCTAACCAATTATAAAAAAAGTAAATCATACAAATGATCCCTCAATTATATGATATTATTTTATTGAGTCACTTGACTATTAAAAGTTATAAAACAATCCTTAACTGCAGGGAGTTATTTTGTTGAGTTTTTCGACTATTAAAAGTTACAAAATGGTCACCTGACTATTCATTATGTTCCAAACTCGTCCATTTTCAATAAAATTTTGAAGGTAGTCTAAGTTGTACGCTAACCTGCTGACTAAGATATATAAAATCTGATCTCATAATATGAATGAATATTATATCACAGTCAACATGTTATCGTTCAGCTCAGACAATCGTTAATTTTTTAATGGAAAATGACGAGTTTAAAATATATTGAATATCAAATGACCATTTTGTAAATTTTAATAGTCGATGACTCAACAAAATAACTTCCTATTATCTGGATCATTTTATGACTTTTAATAGTTAAAGGACTCAATAAAGAAATATCTTATAATCAAGGGACCATTTGTATACTTTACCCAAAAATAAGTAAAATAACTCACAACCAAAATGAGTTGAATTTGGAATAAATAAATTATACATTTTTTTCACTCATATTTTAACCACTAAAGTTTATAAAAATAATTTAATCATCAAACTTTCTATTTATTCGTATTTTGATCGAACGTCAAAATAGACGGATGGCATGACAACACTCTTATGTCAAGTCCGCACTGAAATCTATGTTTTTTAAGGTTATCTTCGATTAGTCAATACACTTCATAAATTTATCTCATCATCTCTTATCACTCTATTAGTTCGATTTTCTCAAATTCACTTTAAAAGTCATAAAATTTAGGGTAAATTACTTGTTTAGTATCTAAACTTTTAATTTTTATCTGTTTTAGTATCTAAACTTTTATTTTTTTCAAAAATATACTTAACGTTTAGTTTTTGTTTTATTTTAGTACTCACTATTAAAAACTTAACACGTTTAATACCTAAACTATTAATTTTAGTGTGTTTTAGTAACTAAACTTCGTAAAAAAGCACACAATCAACAACCAGAAAAAAAAAAGCAGTGTAGGCAGTAAAGGAGCCATGTAGGGTCTGGGGCACTCCCCCCAAATTATTTTTACCATTAAAGAAATAAAAATAATTATCAATTTAGGCATTTAAGTATTGATTTATTTTGATTTTGTCACCCATTTTCTATTGTTAATTATACTTTACTCCTGTCTCATTCCCCGGTGATTGGTGACTGGCAGAAACTAACCAGAAGAACAGCTTCAACAGATGTCCTCAGTCCACAAGCAGCATAACTGAGAAAACCTAAATTAGAACCATCATATCCTAAAGAATACCAAATCGAAAACACACAAAAGTTATGAACAAATACTTGAATTTCATCCTCTTAACACGATCCGACGGCGTTTCATCCCCGGAAACAATGGCTTCTTTTGATCCGAAATAGTAGCAGCGTATAGGGTAAATATCCACCCTCCGACCATTGTTGCTTTCATGATCATCTGTACTCATCATCGTAGATTAATACCAACTGAAAATCAAAGACAAAAAAGAAGAACAGTGGGAAGACGCAGGGTATTCGAAATTGTTTGTTTTTTTATAAAAGAGGAAGATGAACAGTTGAAGAAGAAGAAGAAGAAGAGAAGAGAAGTTAGTGGAATTGTGTTGAAAAAACCGGACGATGTTTGTGGTTTTTAACCGTTTTCTTGTTTGTTTGTTTGTTTGCTTGCATGTTTTGTAATGAAAGTCGTCGTTTGAAGCTTTGAACGTGGCGTTCCAAGGACACGTGGTTTCATACAAGACGAGGATTGTTGTCGGTACGTCAAAAGATAACAAAATCTAAATAGAAGTTGATGTAAGATAGGATCACTGTGCCACTGTCCACCTCGACCAATACTGTTGAGTATATTATTAACGATGAGCGTCGTTGATTTTATTAATTTAATTTATAATAAATTAAAATTTTAGAATATTAAAGGTATAATTATAAATCAATTAAAATTTTAAAGATGAATTATTTAAAATAAAATATTAATTATATTATTTTCTAGAAGTGAAGTTCTGTTGAGACCACTTTGGCCCCCAACCCATGTAAAAAATTTATATATTCGGTAGATTTTAATCTAATAGTATTTTGATTCATGTAAAACAAAATATTCAAATTTTAAAAATATAAAGATTTATTAAATATTTAATGAAATAGGGACCAAACTAAAGAAGGATAATCATATATTCTTAAATTTTTTGGTCTAATAATAATTTAGGTTATTATAAATTTAAATATTAGATAAATTAAATATTGTCTTACAAATTTTAAGTTTTTTTTAATTAATCAAGGGTGAGTAAATGCAGTATATGTTTAAAGATAACTCTCAATCATTTGACATTGAACGCTCACACCCCCGACATTCATGGTACTCGAAATCGAGACCTCAAAGAATAACAACAATTATTTACCACTGAGATCGTTCGGTTCATGCTTAAATTTAAATACCTAATAAGACATTGTATTTTTTCTTAAAAATTTTAATATTTCATCCGCTGTCAATATTCAATCATAGTTTTGTCCCTGTTATTTTCCATAATTTTTTTTAACAGTAATTGGATCACATAACATCCTTAAATTAAAAACCTAAATATTTTTCTTGTTTAAATAACTTACCTTTAGATTTTTAATTAATTTATAATTATACGTCGGGTCTTTTAGAATTTTAAATTTTTATAAATTAAATTAATAATGATCAACGATGCTCAGCGTTAGTGATACTCAACGGTACTCGTCGAACGTTATAAAATTTTCTCATCAGATATCTTTGATTATGTTTAAATATATTCTTAATCAACACTTTTAAAAGTTGTAAAATGAATAATTATTTTATAATATTTTAATAAATTTAACTAGGATTGAATAACAAATTGAAAAATCGATTCGAATTGAATTGTATAATTGGATTTAATTCAAAATTTTCATTGAATTAAACATCCAATTTTATAACTCGGATTTATTTCGATTTTTCTCATAAAATTTATTTGTTTTAAATCAAATAAATTAAAAATATAATTTAAATCAATTTCTTTGTTTATCGGACAAATAGGTAGCTGATAATCGATATTGTTTAGCCCCTACTTGTAACCACCACTATTGCTATATACCTACCGGTCATGTACATGTGTCTGATTTGTGGCCTGGTCAATTTCATTTTTGGTCCAAGTCTGAATTAAATAGGATAAGGGTAAACTATATAAATAGTCCCTAAACTTTTAGTACTCTTAAATTTTGGTCACCCAACTTATGAAACTTGCAATACAATCATCAAACTTTTAGTTTGCTTTCATTTCTCTTCCTGTCGTTAGCTCCCTTAGATTTTTGCTGACGTGGCAGGTGATGCCCCCCTCTCCTCCTCCTCCTCCTTTACTTTTGCTGTACTTTTGCTAATATGCTTGGAACTGATATATTGTCCACACCAAGCCCTTGAAGACCATTATGAGCTGATATCAAGACTAAGGAGGATATCACTCTGATCACAGTTATAAATCACAAACTGATATTATTTTTTATGACAGCACAGCGAGATTTGCCGAATTTACAAAACCAGTCCGTAGTGGAAAAGGAACTTAAAGTTACAAACCCGATAGTAATCTTGGCTTCGACAGGTTTGGTTTCGTCATCGTCTGTAGTTAAGTGCAAGACATCCTCCACCAAAACCCCGATCGATGATGTGTCGTTGGATAGATAGTCGACTTGATAAGGACAATTATTTGAAGGTGAAGAACATCTTCTATGATGTTCACACATGGGACTGTTACAGGAAACCTTTGAGCTTGTAGATGATGTGTTGGTGCTGTAGATGTTGAACTTTATCGACTAAAACACATAAATTACAACAAAAAATAATCAAAATGGTTGTTCGTGTATCAATGAACAAGGATAATGAGAATTCACAACTATCGGGAGAGCATATATACCTCCACAATATCAAAACAAGAATAACAAGCAGGAAACGGATCCAAACAAGAATAACAAGGAAAACCCTTGTTCAGGATCGACCCCTGGGAATGAGCCAAATCCCCTGTTAGGTTCGAGTGGGGGAGAAACAGATTTGAGGAGCTCCAAACCTGAGTGTCCAAAAATAGTGCACAGGGTGACCGGGAGTAGCAGGGCATGGAGGGCTGATAATACTTTTCGTCCACATACGCTTCCTCATTTGTCGAAGCAACGGAGTTTTCCAGCTAGGGACAGGTCTTTTGGTCAAGGAGGGGTGTCGTGGGTGCGAGGCAGTGCATATTCGGTTGGAAAGGTTTTGAACTATGATTTGGCACCAAAGTTGCTAACTACACACCATGCCCAACCCCCGAATCCCCAAGCATTTCCAATCTTTCCATGGAAAAACTTTCACAACATCTAAGCGTTGTCAATGCTTCCAGGATCTGTTCAAAGCGATTTTTGGGTTTATTTTGTTTTTTATTTTGTGGAGGTTATGATTTTCAATGGGTTATGATTTTTTATTTTTTTATTTTTTTGGAGGTTAGGGTTTTCAAAGGTAGAAGAGAATGAGGAGGAGAGGGGGCGGGTTAACGGGGGCATCACCTGCCACATCAGCGAAAATCTACCTCACGGAGGTAATGGTAGAGACATAAATGAAAACGAGTTAAAAGTTTGATGATTATATTTAAAGTTTCAAAAGTTAAGTGACCAAAATGAAAGTACCGTATAAACATACTTTACCCATATGATAATATGAACGGTTTATTTTTTAAAATTTTTTTATCAAGAAAATAGATAAAAAAAACTCAAACTAATTCCAATTTAATTCAAAATCTATAGATTTTGATTCAGTTCTATTTATTAGGATGGGTACAATTTTATAAAGGGATGAGATTGGGTCAGGTCGAGTCTGAGTCAAGGGTAAAAAAAACTCCAACCCGACCCGAAGGTAACAATGTAATTTTTCAAAAAAAAATTGTGGATAATTGCTAGAATAGCTCGACTCTATTATTTTTCAATTAAGTCCTTATTTTATGTTGGGTCGGGTCTGGGCGGATTTATACTGTAAAATTTGGGTTGAGTTAGATTTATATTCTAAAAATTCATGGAGATTGTGTGAAAAATATATATTTTTTAGATCATCAGATTCGAGTGGAATGTATGTATTTTTCAAGTCGGGTTCGATCAAAAATTTGACAGAGTGATTGATCCAAAATTATTTTTGAGGCACAAATACATAAAAAATTTAAATGTGATAGGTATAAATAAAATTTTAAGATAGACATTATCAGTAAAATAAGTAATTAATTGAAAAAAAACTCATATTTTAAAATAGACATCATCAATAAAATAACTAATTAAAAAAAATATATATATATTTCAAGTAACACGAATACACCCTACAACTCGACCACGTATCTAACCTAACTCGAACCATGTCGTCCCCTCTAATTCGAAACAACATTTAAGTGTAACTTAAAAAAAGATACAGCAAGGATCGTACTATAAAATCTTTTACTTATCACTATAAGATGATCAAAACGATCAATGACTGACCAGGCTATTCTTAGCCTTTTGAAATTCAATTAATGACTTATCTATGATGTTACGTTACCCTCCTTTAATTTAGTGTATTAATTGACACAATTGTAATATTTAAGAGACTGATCCCAAATATCCGTACTCATCGTAAAACTTTGATTTCAATTGGGTTGGGTGCACCAGGCCCGAGCAATAGTTCAACGCTTGGCGACGCACAGTAGCCCCAGTAGCAAGCCACTGTTATGGGATCTTCCCCTCAAAAAATAAATTTAATATCGTGTGGGCCATTGGTCCACGTATCAGAAATTAAACTGATAAGAACAGATACTACACTAGATCTTAGCCAAAAGGCCGAGAAAGGTTTGAGTTACAATTTTCAAGCCCGCATGTTTTATAAGGCGCCTCTGCCCTCGTCTCTTCGTATGCCAACGATGTGGGATTTGTGATACTGGCAGTGTGTATTCAGCTACTTGCTTGCAAACTGCTTCATTGGAAACTAACAAAGGTTTAGTTATTAATGGATTAAAGTAGAGTTCACTGAATCATGTAAAAATGTTATAGCTAGTTAGCAATCTTTCAAACGTTACATAATAGTCATTAAATTTCTTCAATGGTTTCAAAATGGTCCCTGCAATGTTCAAGTAACAATAAGTTTGACAAAGCTTCACCATTTCCTTCACCCAGAATAGAACAAAATCCTCGTTTCCTGTTTTGCTCTATCGATGGGAAACCCAGTGATACCCATTCGAAGTTACTTCCCGGCGATGCCGTTTCCGTGCTCGAAGATATTCCTCATTTTACTGATGACCCCCTCATATCAGCTTTGGGTTTCATTGTTGGCTCTTAGTGAACCCAGGTTTTTGCTTTTGGTTACCTTAATGTGCTTTCCTTTACTTGGTTGCCGGATGTGTGTATGGATCGGCAGTACTTGAGCCCGACTCGACTCGTTTTTGGCCCTTCTTAAACCATGGTAATGTTGCCGAAGACCGTAACGACACGAAGTCACCGAAGACAATACATGCTTGCCATGAAAGTAGCATTCAGGATTTAACAATTAAACCGCTGTTACATTCAATATGAAACCATCTTTTTGCTCAATCATCATCATCATAGAATGGTATTAGACGAACAAATGTATCTCAAGCTCTATAGATGCTAGATGGGTCAGCGTTTTGAACAGTCCATGGGTGCCCAAGAATCCTTGGCAAGCATCTCCAATTAAACTTAAACGTTCATAACACGTCCACGTTGGGGCATCATCTATATCCACAAGTAATAGAAGCAACAACAGATGCCAAACAAATGAGGCCCTTTGCTGCAGATGAAGCTATTGGTTACAAGCTGCTAGATAAAGAACGTGGTAAACCGTAATAAACCGACAAAAGGTGCAGACATTAGAGCTAATCCCTTAGATCTAATGGCTTACAACATACCCATTTCAGGAGGGAGATAATTGAGTGTACCGCACGTAGTCCGCCTGCGGTTAAACGTGCGCACTGACCACCCAAAATCTGCAATCTTTTAGTTCATCCTTGTGGTCGTAGGATCGAGTCCTACGGTGGGCAATTCAAAATTGTGGAGATTCCACGGAAGTTACTCTTAACCTAGCGTTGGGGGCAGCCTACTACCCTACCTCCCTTATCCATTATATGGGATTAGGGTCAGCTTTTTAGTTCATCCTGATAGCAAATCCAAATAGACTAGATAAGCACAACGAGACCTTCATTCAATGACGAAACAACTAAAGCCATAGGTTAGGAATCACCTGTGCACCAATTAACAGGTTCTCGGGTTTGATATCTCTCGAAATAGGAGTGAGTAAAGTTTAAAATTTTTAAGCTAGCGAGCATTTAAGTCGAGTCGAGTTTCAAATTTTTATTTCGAATTTGAGTCGAGCTCAACAATATTTGAGCTTGACTCGACTCGTTTACAATCCTATTTCAATCTAATTTCCGATCAAATCAACTTTTATTATTATTTTAAATAATTTCTACAACATTTTATTTATATATATAATTACAATATTTTATTTCCGATCAAATCAATTTATATATATAAGTTACATCTAATTATGCTGAATAAAATATAATCTAATTACAATATTTTATTTTTATGAAAACTGGATTATTCGTATTTATAAATTCAAATTCAAAAGTAAAAAATAAAAATTTAAGGTTACGAACTCATAACTTAATAGAAATATCTGTTCTTGACATAAAGAAATTAAATAACAAACCTAACCAGCTTTATAAGCAAGAGGTAGTCCAGCGGTTAGGATAATTACTTACGAAGTAATTGACCAGGGTTCAAGTCCCGGCAAACGAACAGTTTTACAAAATTTCCCTTTTTCAAATTAAGAAAGGCTAAAGTCCAGTTTTGATTCACTGTTCACCACTGGGGACAGTATCCTGCATATGTACACTATCAACACAGACGCCTCGGTGGCATGATAGGCGTGGAGCTCCTCGAGAGTGATCGAGACCATAATGAAATATTCCAAGTATGTGTGCCGTGTGCATTATAGGAGCAGGCGCTGCATATTAATAACTTTGGCTTTGGCTAAGACCTCCGAGCAGCTGATAACCCTATGGAATTGATTAATGCATTTTGGACACTGGTTTGGATACTGATTAGGTCTCATTGGAAGCATATGCACAGTGGTATCAGTTGTAGCTAGTTATTGTCTAACTTTGCATTGTCTATTGGCATTAGTATACTACGGCAGCCTTCGGAATGTTGTCCCCTTCTTTGATCAGCGAGCGGTTGCACGCTCGACGGATGCAGTCCGGTGAAATTTCCATGAGGCATTTTAAGAAAGCCTTCATGGTCAAGTACTTCTGTTTTTCTGAATCTTTATTGACTCCATTATGTTATAGGCCGGACTGGTTACATGCATTATACATAAGAAAACTACGTGAGAAGCTCGGAGAGACGGAGACTCCTATCATGATAAGGCCATTGCTCTGGTTTTTATCGTCGAATCAAGCCGAGATTGCTGCTGCTGCTGCTGATCCTGCATGTAGTTTTGAGCATCAACTAGGGAAGATATCTGGTTTCTTCTGTTCGGAGGGATGTGATTCATTGTGATCATAGATGATTTGGTGAGCCGAAATCATGAACCATAAGTCAAATTTTCGCTGAATTTGCAAGCAAAAAGTACAAATTTTCTGTCCAAAGTTCGTCTTCTTTCCTTCGATTTAGAACAATCAACCCAAAGTTCCACCTTTTCAGCTCAGGCAAGTTTCTCCCTTTCTTTATTTGAATATCTGATCCCTTTGTTTTAGATTATTTGATTTGAACCCCTTTTTCTGGGTTTTTGCTCTAGCTTTGAATTCAATTTCATTATTATTTCCCCCAAATAATCCATTGATAAATATAATCCTAGATGTCAGCATCTGTCGGTGGATAATTTCCGATTTCATTTGAATTCATGAACTTTATCTCGAGTTTGATCACATAAGAGTTTTTTTTTTAAAAAAAAAAGAGTTGAGAAAGTACACGTAATGAACCTTTGCAGCATCTGATTAAGATCAAATAGGTCGATTAGTCGGATTCCGATCAAATAGGTCGATTAGTCGGATACCGGTTATTATATAGAGAAAAAACAATGTTTTTCTTTTAGTTCTTATGAAGCATTAATTGTTTTAATCAGTTATAAGATTGAATCTGGGGTTCTTTATCATTTGAAGCGGGATTTTTGTCCGCTGAGTGTACGCCGAGAAGGAGCTCAACTCTCCGAGCACAGTGGCTTCGGCACACATGGATCAGAGTAATGAAGTCTTTCTTCATTCGTCTTTGTTTATTCAACTGATATGCTCTGTTTTTCAGTCGGACGTGTAATTGTATGACTCTGTTCGATTATATTTGCTCGTAAACATCGGATTTGCTTATGGACACGATTTTCTCATAGGGATGAATCTGATGTGGTTTCACTATGTCTTGGGTGCTACCATCAGTGAGTCGGGGAATTTGAGAAACAGCCTCGAGGTTTCTAAACCACTCTCGGATAAACATCTTGATCTTTTGAGGTCATCTGTTCGATCATATTAACTATTTAAAGGTAGAGAACTCGGTTAAGTTGATTTCATGTTAGGTTCATCATTTCGGCTCCTCCGACCGGATGCAGCAGGGAAGGGCAAGTATACGCTTATCAAAGAGGACAATGACTTCCAAGCTGACTTCCAAGCTAGTTTTTCGACAAACCTCTCCCTTGCTTTGGTTGTGGTGTCGATGGTTCTTGCGAGTCCTCTTTGCTCACAACGACATGTTCCTCCTAGCAGTTTTTCCATTTCTCACGTTGAAATTGTTTCTTACAGCTTCCTGATAGGACTTTTATGTCCATTGATGTGGTACTATGCTACATTTCTCTACTTCGGTAATAACTATCGTAAAGATCCAAGAGAGAGAGCCGGTCTTGCTGCTTCCGCAATTGCGGTAAGTATTCCCACTCTCCGTCCTTCCCTTCTTCCTCCGGTGAATGACTTTCATACCAATAAAACAATCTCTCCACCCTTATCTGGCCCGGTTTTGTTGCAGGCAATGGCATGCTCTGTGGTACTGCTGATCATAATAATAGTTTTTCTTCTATTTTAAACCAAAACTTATACACGAGTTCAAAGGAATGATTTGGCTGCAATGTAGAAACAGAGTCAAATTATCCGATCTGCCGAGCACCATTGTAAAGACGACAAAATATGAGAAACATTCTGTTCATAGAGGTTATACTTTCTTCATTGATAGAACCACGAAATTCGAGGCCATGCTTGTTTGTAAGTAATTTGATGAGTTCCATTACTGAAATAAAACTTGTTCCATTGTTGAATGCTTTGCCCAGTGTTCTTGAATCGATAATAAATAATCGAGTCATGAAACCAAGTTCATAATCTATACTGACATTCGAACCTCAAATTTGACAATTACTACAAGTAATTGAGACGACAAAATGACAAAATTGAATGAACTGACCGTAATACTGCCATGGGAAAACCAATAACTGGTGACATTGTCATCCTCCAAAACCGGAACACAAAAGGATTCATTAAAGCTTGATTTTTAGTCTTTTGCCGCTAGGCGAACATTTTTGCCATCAACTGAATATCTTGCGCTTGAAGTAATCTGCAGGTCAAAAGAGAAAGATTGAGTCGAGATGAGTGAAACAAAAGAGACCTTTAACATGGATGAATCACTGAAGAAAGAATCTCCCTGACCTTGTGCTGCAACATTTCACTTAGTTGGGACTTATCATCATCCACACCTGATTCCTGGAGAGCCTTTAGAACCCGTTTTTGCAGCTTCCGCATTTTCAAAACTCCATCGGGACTCTGCATCAAAAAGAAAGACTTTGTGCCTATAACTATAAGCCAGCATTGATAAAATCGGATGAGATGGAACGAAAGGAGACATACGGATTTCAAGGCTTCTTTAATCAACTTTTTCCACTTTATCTTCTTTTTCGTATCTTCTTTTGTAAAGGCAGATTCCACTAGACCTTCTTTTATGGCATTATGTTTGGATTTCTTTGCCTTTTCTTTCTCCATCTGAGTGACTTCTCCATTGCCTGTTTCATCAGAGCTATCGTCTAGCTTTCTCTTTTTGTTTGATGATATGCAACCATTTGCTGCTACGGAGTTGATTTGGGGTTGGCCATCTTTGGAATGATCCTGCAATTTGTCCTCTCCAACAGATTTATTTTCTGGCAACTCGCCATTCTCTTTGTTTTCAGCCGAATCCTTAGTATCCGGAGCAGATTCTTCCGTCTGCTGAGGTTGCTGCTTGGCATGGAATGCCCGAGCCTTTGCCCTGTGCTTCTTTCCATCAGCATGAAGAAGCAAGGTCTGCTGACTTGTTGCCTTGGTATTGCAAAGACTGAAAATACATAGATAACCAAGAGAATCTCCTCAGAATGATAAACAACAAACAGTCTATATCAATACACAACATTTAACTTGAGTGACTTTTACACCATGCTATGTCAGACCAAAGATCAACAGATTCGAAACAAGCTGCCCAACCAGATGAAATGTCAAAGTCGCCAAATTTTGGAATGGAGCAGATATTATAAACTGATTCATATATCAGATACCAGAGACAATTAAATTTCAGTGGATCTGTTATGTTAAAACGATCAGATTCTTCAGCAGTAGCCCGAGAAATTCATGGTTAAAGGACCAAAACATTAACAGATAACAAGATAATCCCATATTAACTGCAAAGATGTGTTATTCAAGCTTGAATAATAACTAGCACGCTATTCTATGAAGGATCTTGAACCTTTGATCCAATGGGTGACCAAAAAGGTCAATGGACCGGTAGTAAAACACCTATCCCATGCTATTAGGACGCAACTTATTCATCCCAAATAATTTGGGGTAATTTACATTCTACATCAGTAAATCTGTTATGTTAAAATGATCAAATTCTTTAGCATCCCTAGAATATTCACAGGTAAAGAATCAAAACATTAACAGATAACAAGACAACCCCATGTCAACCGCAAAGAAGTGTTATTCAAGCCCCAAAATCAGAACTGCTAGCTATTCAGGAATCTACCAGCTTCAAACTAAGCACATTGCCTGTTCGATTTCTAGGAATACCACCTATTACTAGAAAGCTCACCATGATGGATTGTGAACCTTTGATCCGATGAGTGACCACAAAGATCAATGGACCAGTGGCAAAACACCTATCCCATGCTAGTAGGATGCAGCTTATTCATCCCAATAATTTGGGGTAATTTACATTCTACATCAGTAAATCAATTACATAAAACGATCAGATTCTTTAGCATTAGCCCCAGAAATTCATAGTTAAAGGACCAAAACATTAATAGATAACAAGACAACGCCATGGCAACCACAAAGATGTGTTATTCAAGCTCCAAAGTCTGAACTGCTAGGCACATTGCCTGTTCAATATCTAGGAATACCACTAATGACTAGAAAGCTCTCTATGAAGAATCTAGAAACTTTGATCCAATGGATGACCGAAAAGGTCAATGGACCGGTAGTAAAACACCTATCCCCGTGCTTAGGACGCATCTTATTCATCCCAAATAATTTGGGTTAATTTACATTCTACATCACTAAATCCGTTATGTTAAAACAATCACATTCTTTAGCATTAGCCCTAGAAATTCACAGTTAAAGGACCAAAACATTAAAAGATAACAAGACAAGCCCATGTCAACCGCAAGGACTGTTATTCAAGCTCCAAAATCTGAACTGCTAGCTATTCAGGAATCTACCAGTTTCAAACTAAGCATGTTGCATGTTCGATATCTACGAATACCACCTATTACTAGAAAGCTCATTATGAAGGATTGTAAACCTTCGATCCAATGGGTGACCGAAAATGTCAATGGACTGATACCAAAACTCCTATCCCATGCTGGTAAGACGCAGCTTATACATCCCAAACAATTCATTCATAGACTTAAACAAAGGAAAAACACCAATAACAGTCACACAACACCGCTCGGAATTAATATTATATCAGAGCAGACAATATAAACATTGACATCAATATCATTAATCGAATTTTAAAAGTTTTACCTGCAAAACCATGGAGGACGTTGAGACAGGCCCATATTGATATCAACATCAGGTTTCTCCTTTGTTTGCTTGTTGGGTTTTGCATTCGAACCATTGGGTGTTTGCCCCTGTCCCTTTGGACCATATTTTTCCTAAACATGAATCAAACAAACACTTCCTATCAGACTACGTGTCAAAAATTAGTAAAAAACAATAGAGGATCACGTAACTTACAGCCTCAGTTATGCACTGTGTATGGATTTGAACATTTTGTTGCTCAAAAATCACTCCACAATCAATGCAAGAAAACTGAAGAAATCAACCAAAAACAGGGAATGGGTCAGTGGAAAATCCGAAAATAACCAAAGAAAAACGCTCAAAAAACAGAAATCGATAAGAGAAACCGAGACCCTGGAAGCAGAACAAATCCTGAAGTGATTTGCTAACTTGGGTTTCTTCAAGTTCTCGCCACAATCCTCGCATTGAAACCAGACCATCTTTTTTCCTTGTTCGTTTAAGTGTTGTTTTGCCCCCGGAAAATTAAGGGGGCTTAAGAAGAACGGAGAAGATGGTGGCTTTGATTAGGGTTTAGCAGGTTGAATCGAGGGTTTTTGTTATTTGATTTCATCGTTTCTGGAATATTCCAAATTGTTTGGAGTAAAACGCAGCGTACGAGATGCTGAGACTAATGGTAACATGGGCTTTACATCAGAAGATGAGGCCCAATTCAAAATGTGAATTCATAATATACTTTGATTTGAGGGTAAATTACGCATTTAGTATCTAATTTATTAGTTTTATTCCGTTTCAATATCTAAACTTTCAATTTCTATAAAAACATACCTAAAGTTTAGTTTTTGTTTCATTTTAATACCCGTCATTAAAAACTTAACGTGTTTAGTACCTAAATTATCAGTTTTAGTCTGTTTTACTACCTAAACTTTCATTTTTTTCAAAACTTAACGTTAAGTTTTTAATGGGTACTACAATGAAACAAAAATTACACATTGTGTATGGTTCTAAAAAAATTGAAAGTTTAAATGCTAAAATGGACTAAAATTGATAGTTTAGATACTAAATATATAATTTAACCTTGATTTTATCACATCGAAAAAAATCTATGTAAAAATGTTTAAAAAGACAATTCAATACATTATTGTAAATAAGTTATTAAAATATTAATTACTTCAAATTAAAATAGAGATAAAATTCATATAATTTTTAAATACAAAAAATTTATCAAATTATTTGAACTATTATAAATTTGAAATAATTGCATGTTTTATGAGTAAAACTATTATTCTATCATACAATATCATTATTTATGTTTAATCATTTGATTATTCGTAGGTTGATAAATACAATAGATTAAAATGACTAACAATACATTCAATTTTGGTAGGTCATGTAGATCTATTAAAGTTCGTGTCAAGAGGTCGCAACTTTTCAAAAGGTGTATGGCGTTTGAGATTATATTAGGTGTGTAAATGAAAACTGAGCTTGAACGAATAATAATGTTCGTGTTCATTTGTTTATTTTTGAAGGTGTTTATGTTCGTGTTGGATTCTTGTTCGTTTAATTTTTTATTATTGTGTTCACTTATTTTTTTAAGATATTCATGTTCATTAATTTAACGTACGTTAACATGATAGTTTAAATGTTAAAGAACACATATATTTAAATGCTCGTGAACGTTCATATAGTGTTTGTTTAATACTTGTGAACATGCTCGTTTAACGTTCGTAAACATGTTTATTTAAAGAGATCTATAGACGAACGGATATAAGGGGAAATAGAGACATGGAAAAGGGAGTTTTATTGTTATAATTAGGGGAAATGGTAAAATTACATAATAAGTTCTTAAACTTCTTATGATGCATAGTTTAAACTCTAAATTTCACCATGTATTCAATTTAGTATGTACAGTCACTAATATTTAAATGTAAAAAATTATAAACAATCTTCTTAACAAGTTTATAAACGAGTTTGTTCATGAACATAAATGGAAAAAAAAATCATATTTGTTTACTTAGCTTAATAAACAAACTTTATACGAACGATTCGCG